AACATCAAGGTTCCCAAACATAGCAGGAGTTCCCATGCTCTGCAGAAACACAGTCTCCGCATTTCAAGGATCTGTGTGGCTTCAACCATGGGAATCTCAGCAGTAACCAGTGAGGGCTGAAGATGAGTATATCTCCAAATACTGCATATGATCTGGCCGTGTAAGGGGAGGGGGCTGACAGATTAAGTTTTCCTGCCATCCTGATGTGACAGGGGCTCAGTCAAGTTTAATTTGATTTAAAGAAAATAAACATGTTTTTTCTTATACATCCAAGTTTTTGGTTGCAATTCACATACTAGGAAATACAGCGAAGGACAAAGCAAAAAGAGATGGAGAATACAGCAATGGACAAGTCTGCAGAACAAGGGATGCCGATCCTAACGTCACTCAAGTCTTGCCATAGAATGATGGGGCTGACCCAGTTTTATTAGGTGTACAGCTCCCTAGTTCTTTGTCTCCCTTTCAACTCTATTAAGGTTGGATGCTCCATCTCATTCTTCTGACCCTAACTAGCTTGCTGCAGGGGTTGGCATCTCTACCAGGTCTGTTAAGGTTCTCCCAAAAAGATAAGAAAGAGAATGAAATAAGTCAGACAAGCAAGTTTCCTAAGTTTCTCAGTCTCAGCTTTCTAATGTGTAAAATGTAAGTTAGACTAATGAGGGCTGCTATTTAGCTTGTATGCACTGGTAAAACCATACCAGTTGTTAAATGACTGAAACTCCTCCATATCAGTCAGCAAAAAGCAAGTACCCCAAGCCTTTAGCTGGCTCCAGACCTCCCCATAATCCAGCTTTCTCATGACCCTACTCTAGTGTGGCTGAGTGCTGTGCCCTACACATTGTTCAATATTTCAAACATCACTCTGGAAAATAATTACCTCTTGAGATTGTCGTGAGGCTTAAAGTGGGTTCAGTTAAAACAAGCTAATGACACTTGACCCTGACCAACCTCCTCCCATCAGATGTGTGTTCTTAAGCCATCTCTTTGGATCCAGAGCCAAATTATACTTCTGCTATGCAGCTGCCATGGTGTCAGGCCCTGCTCTGGCCTTCAAAGATTTTTCCTTTAATCAGCCAAGCAATTTTCTCTTCCATGTTCAGTTTAAAACTAGCTGCTTCTGCTGTTGTTGTTTCTTTAAATAACAGCTTTATTAACATATAATTCACATGCCATAAAATTAAAGTATACAACTCAGTGGTTTTTAGTATAGTCACAGAGTTGTGCAACCATCACCACTAATTCCTGAACATTTGCCTCACCCCCAAAAGAATCCCTACATCCAGTAACAGTCGTTCCCATTCCCCTTCACCCCAGGCCCTGACAACCACTAACCTACTTGCTCTCTCTATAGGCTTGCCTATCCTAGACATCTTGTATAGATAGAATCATTCAACATGTGGCCTTTTGTGTCTGGATTCGTAGCATAATGTTTGCAAGTTCATCCGTGTTGTAGCATGTATCTGTACTTCATTCCTTTTTATTGCCAAAGAAGATTCCATAGTATAGATATACCACATTTTGTTTATTGTTTCTATTTTTATTTTTTAATTTTTTAAAATTATTTATTTATTTATTTATTTATTTTGTGTGTGTGTGTGTGTGTGTGTGTGTGTGTGTGTGAGAAAGATCAGCCCTGAGCT